TATGAATGGGATGCATGCATACAAATGCTGGTAGAATTCCTTGTATACTGCTGTCTTGCTTTAGCAAAGATCTCAATGTTCTTTTTGTATTTTTCCAAAGTATCGATAATGTTGAAAACATTAAGAATAGCATCCGCAACAGAAATCATAATATTAAAAGCAATCATGGCCTTTCCCCATAATATCCAAGGCCTCTAACCGTTCAGGAGCATATTCTTCAGGAGGAACCCCAGCTCTTCTAGCAGCTCTTGTGATCCTCCAGGTCTCAATCTTCATCCCAATGCAGATTGAAGTGAAAATGCTCCTAATCATGTGAAGGATGCTAGTGTTGTTCAAAATCTTTTGCATATATCTTGCAAGGCTTCTTCAATCTTCTCTTCTCCATGATCACCAGACAAAGCAAACTTATCAAGGATGTCGCATATCTTATCAATGTTTGGATCATTTCTTGTCACCCTAGCAACTTCGACGTATTTTCTGAAATTGGCCACTGATGTACCTCCGTTCCTGGAGATGTACTCTATGAAGGTGTAGAGAAAGCTCCTAGCCAATTGAGGGGTGAGGCCTGTGGGGAGCTGGCTTTGACGTAATTGTTGTTACTCTTGACCAGGCTAGTGTATCTTGCACAGGGATCACCCACACCATCAACAATATCTTGATCATCACTGTTAAGGTGCTTATAGAGGTCATCTTCTTGGGCCTTGATAGCTGCTTGTATATTTATAAACTTTCAGTGGCAATCCTTGCAACATGATGTACGACACATTAGTATCCTACCTATATAGCAGGCCTGGGGTAATATGTAATAGTAATAGTAATAGTAATAGTAATTATTACAATTTTTCATGTAATAGTAATAGTAATAGTAATAGCAGTTTCAATTTTAGAAGTAATAGTAATAGTAATAGTAATAGGGCCTTAGTAATAGTGTTAAATTAAAATGGAGGACACTATAGATTATCTTTCACAATAAGCAATACCAATAACCCCAGTTGATTTGCTATTTGATATAGCTGGTAAAATATTTCAACCAGATCGCTGTTCATTGTCTGACAGTGTGTTTCAAAGACTAATTTCTATTAAATGCTATCAATGTATTGTTTTAAATTATTTTTTATTATGTTGTAAAACTACAAGAGGTAATAGTAATAGTAATAGTAATAGCAAATATGTAATAGTAATAGTAATACTATTACTTGTCATTTTCCCTGTAATAGTAATAGTAATAGTAATATGAAGTGTCAAGGTGTAATAGTAATAGTAATAGATTATAATTGAAAGTAATTGACCCCAGGCCTGCTATATAGGGCAGGGTAGTCTGGGCAGTGAGACCATTAGTAGTAATTTTGGTAAAATTAATGCATTTTTCAGATGCTGTCATACTAAACTGAGATACACATAATATATAAACCATGGTTTCAAAGTGTGTATCAGTAACGTAAGATCTGAGTTCTGAGATGTCTGCCTGAGGCAAAGCCAAGGGCAGACAGTTCCAGGGAAAAGTCTTATATTACTGATACTCACCTTGAAACCATGGTTTATATAACATGGTATATGAACATGGCATACTGTAACTATATAC